CGTTTATATATCAAATAATAATCACCACGTCATTACACTTTATTTACTCTCAAGTTTAGTTTATTTTAAGCAGTACATCATGACAAATATCTTGTACATATCAAATATCCATGCATCATTCTGTCCTCGATTCTGTCCGTATTTCGACTAATATCGGTCGTAAACAAAGGTTTGCTACATAGAATTACAAATAACGTTCATTAACAACAAGTTCAATTGTTTCAAAGTCAAAATGAAAGAAATACTTACATCTTATGGCGATTTTAAAGCAGATTACATTTGTATATCTATCACGAATATCAATAGTTTTCCAAAAAGCCTCGCTCGCGAAGACTGGCTCTAAATTAATTATGCTAATGTCAACAAACGGCGCGAAATAATTAGATTAATTATAGTAGCGTCCGTAACAAGCTGGAAGAAAAGCACGGAGGAATGCGAGGGAACTTACACTCTGGATGATAGACAGAAAATGTTTCTGTCTCCGCCAACCTATGAAGGCCTGAAGATTGCTGTCTTCGCTCATGTTGACATCATTAAGTTTCTCTTGTCAGAGGGATTCAAGTATGTTCTCACAGAGATTCGTGCAGGATGTCCTTGAGGACTACTTTGGACACCAAAGAGAGAAAGGAAGGAGGTCAGACAATCCAACTGCTCAGCAGTTTGGATATAATGACCTAACAATTGCTGCGCAGCGAGACATTGCTCCCAGTGATTAGAGGCAATGTTGGCAGCCGGTATGAAAAGGTGAAATGGCACCAGGTCAGCGACGAACCCGTAAAAAAGCGAAAAAAAATAACATGATTGCATTGTATATTAACCCTTTCATTGGCAAAGCACTCAAATACCTACTATATAATTATTTTATTCTGTCTAATCAGGCACCACAGAGAGTTGGAGGAGGGGCTGCCCACCCCACCCCTACTTTTTGGGAGCTAAAATTAATAAAAGTCAGGCAATAACAAATAGTTTCTATGACAATGACCTTAAAGCCTGATTCCACTATTATTGAAATATTTTGCATGTTTCGTTTGAATTGTGAGCAATCAAGTAGAAATAATTTATTTGAGTAGTCGCAATTCAAAAGAAACAAGCGAAATAATTCGCATTTTGCCGAGAAAAAGCACCTGTGGGATCAAACCTTTAGAGACTATGTTGAGGTTTCTCTCAAAATGTGCGAAATATAGCATAAACCAGAAATATAGCATAAACCAGAAATATTTCCAGGAACTTTTAATTACGACTTAACCCCCCCCCCCACTTTCTAATACGCTCTGTGGACCCTGCTAATGCCGACAATTTTAATTATTTAATTAAAGGGAGATTATTGCCAGTACCAAACCTGTCTGCCAGTTGTTCTTGTTAATCCTATGACTAGGAATGTGTTAATGGTTAATGTTAGCATAACTTATCATGCAATGTAAATTTTTTGATGTGATATATTATAGCCCGAAGAGTATGTGGAATACTGATGATATACTTGCCACATATTATTGTAAAACATGACTCAGCAAAGTGTTTCTAAATAATTTCTTACTCTGTTCTTATGTATTTATCAATTTGCAATTTCACCATCCCCCCTAGGTATAATACCCCAGGGAATTTGAACGTTTGAAAATTTTATTGTTTAAATTTCCCATCCCCTGCCAACAAGTGTTCAAATATCCAACCAAAACAGAAAAATGAACAGGCAAATCCCCAACCTCCCTGCCAAGGAAATTTTTATGAAACTGTCAATACAGAACAACAAAATGCTAAAAACACAAATGACAGTGGCAAAAATTGAAAATTTGTGATTTAGATTCCTGACAGAGTGTCAAATATTCCCCTTTCACATTTTGTCACCATGTGTCTACATTGAGAAAAAATTTCCAGATTACAAAATATTCCATTTTGCATTACAATTAAAGTTCGTATGTCTTTGCAATGGTGTTATACATCATAAAGGCGTATAAAGCTGAGTCATTAGCTTCGATGGGGCATAAAAAAAATAACTGTGGCTGGTTCCCGACGGACCCTATTATATTTTCAACGCAAAATGGCGTCTGTTGTCACAGTAATTATTGAAAAAAACATGAAAAAAATATTTAAAAAAAACTTATATCCGACCTACCGAACGCGATATTAAACCGGAACCACAGGTATTTTTTTTTTACGCCTGGCCTAACTTTAGATAGTTGCCATGGAAATGTTGGAGCTGAAGTTATGAATGCTCAGAAGAGGAGTTAAGGGTTATGTGTCCATGACTCTCACTTTTTGAATTCTGAAAATTTGCACAAATTGTGTATTGGACCTCTTAAATTATGCTTCAGCAGCCAATTAGAACCATTAAGAAAGAGAAATAAGCATGTCTATTGTGCTTTTCAGGCTTAAAGGTAGAGGTTTTGCAGTTGTGAGTTTTCACAATAGCAAAATACATCGCAAAAATATATGGTAAAATAGCAAAATACATCTTTGCAAACTCGTTTGGAAAATAAAGAAACAGATGCAACTAATCGTTTAACTTTAAACATTTTTTTATTGTAACTATAATTTTAATGTGTATTTTTAATAAAAGTTTTCTGTAAGTTTAAAAATAAATAAGATGATAGGACAGTTAAGCGTTAGATCCTTACTATGATGTTTGTGATGTTATTCTGAGTGTGTATCCACACCAGGCAAGCTTGAAAAATATGCCTGGCCACGGTGGGAATCGAACCTATGACCTTTGGAATACTAGCCCAATGCTCTGCCAGCTGACCTACGCGGTCAGGTCAGTTCGAGTATGTGATATTTAGGAACTGAGTTTAGTTCCTTCGACATCAATGTAATCTAAAAATCATGATTTTTTGTGTTGGTGTTGTGTGCCTGGCCACGGTAGGAATCAAACCTATACGACCTTTGGAATACTAGATTACATTGTCAACATTAATGTCGAAGGAACTATGCTCAGTTCCGAAATATCACATACTCGAACCAACCTGACCGCATAGATCAGTTGGCAGAACATTGGGCTAGTAATCCAAATGTCGTAGGTTCGATTCCCATCGTAGCCAGGCATATTTTTCAAGTTTGCCTGGTGTGGATATACACTCAGAGTAACATCACAAACATACTCACCTTAGTACATAACACCAACACAGAAAAAATCAAGATCCTTACTGTGGTATATAACAGACAACTATTGTGATGTACAAGCGTACGAAAACCAGCCTAAAGCCCATTATTACTAAAGTACAAATAATACAATAATTATGCATTTGTTTTGTTATTTTTGTAATTGTAACATTACTAATTTTACAGAAAATTTCTAGCCTTTGACCCAGGTTCCCAGAAAGAAAAAAAAATTTTCCACCCCTGCCCAACAAATTGCATCAATTAGAGTCCATATCGAACGTGTAATTGGACTATTAAAAAATCGCTATTGAATCTTAGATATCAACAACTTTTATTAAATCATTGTCAGATGAAGCAAATGGGGAAACTATAACAGGAATTGACAAACTTGTTACTGTATGTTCAGCATTGTGTAACCTAGGTGATGGAATTGTCTACAAAGATGAAAATTACATGGACAACTAGTTATTTTGCATGCACTCATGATAGACATGGCAAACAGTATTATATGTACTGTATTCGGGTTCAAATTTTGTTCAGTAATCCTTAAAGGGGCCCTACAGTCATTTTTTAGTCGAAAAGCCACCTTAAATAGGGGACTCCACAGAGATTTGTTTGGCTACTTCCGCTGCATGCATGCTGTGGTGCGCATGTCAAGTAGCGACAATAACAAAAAAATGTAAACAATTACTTCAGGTGGCTTTTTGACTAAAAAATGACTGTGGGGCCCCTTTAACTCTATATAATGCTACAAGGAATTATAACTTTGATTTTTATATTGTCAGAGACTTAAATGGGTCATTCCAGAAAAGATCCTGATGCTCCACCCAAATTTCTGCTGTCCAGAGGAGTAGGAGAGAACAATTCGGGTTATATTGTTGTGTTACGCGCACCAATATGTGCATGAATGATGTCATTAATATGGCATCCCCATATATCCATATCCTTGGTAATCCAGTTACCCCTGGTTATCTAGTTACCCCCTGGTTATCCAGGTTTCCTTGGTTATCTAGTTATCCCTGGTTATCCAGTTATCCTTGGTTATCTAGTTATCCTAGGTTATCTAGTTATCCCTGGTTATCCAGTTATCCTTGGTTATCCAGTTATCCTTGGTTATCTAGTTATCCCTGGTTATCTAGTTATCCTTGGTTATCCAGTTATCCCTGGTTATCCAGTTATCCTTGGTAATCTAGTTATCCTTGGTTATCTAGTTATCCTTGGTTATACCCTTGGTTATCTAGTTATCCCTGGTTATCTAGTTACCCCTGGTTATCTAGTTATCCCTGATTATCCGGTTTTCCTTGGTTATCTAGTTATCCTTGGTTATCCAGTTATCCCTGGTTATCCAGTTATCCTTGGTTATCCAGTTATCCTTGGTTATCTAGTTATCCTTGGTTATCTAGTTATCCCTGGTTATCCAGTTATCCTTGGTTATCCAGTTATCCTTGGTTATCCAGTTATCCTTGGTTATCTAGTTATCTGCGGTTATCTAGTTATCCTCAGTAATCTAGTTACCCCTGGTTATCTAGTTATCTTGGTAATCTAGTTATCCTTGGTTATCTATTTATCCTTGGTAATCTAGTTATCCTTTGTAATCTAGTTATCTTGGTAATCTAGTTATACTTGGTTATATAGTTATCCTTGGTTATATAGTTATCCTTAGTAATCTAGTTATCCTTGGTAATCTAGTTATCCTTAGTAATCTAGTTATATTTGATATGTAGTTATCCTTGGTAATCCAGTTATCCTTAGTAATCTAGTTTTGCTTGGTTTTCTAGTAATCCTTGGTAATGTAGTTATCCTTGGTAATCTATATATCCTTGGTTATCTAGTTATCCTTGGTTATTTAGTTACCCTTGGTTATCTAGTTATCCCTGGTTATCTAGTTACCCCTGGTTATCTAGTTATCCCTGGTTATCCAGTTTTCCTTGGTTTTCTAGTTATCCTTGGTTATCCAGTTATCCCTGGTTATCCAGTTATCCTTGGTTATCCAGTTATCCTTGGTTATCTAGTTATCCTTGGTTATCTAGTTATCCCTGGTAATCTAGTTATCCCTGGTTATCCAGTTATCCTTGGTTATCTAGTTATCTGTGGTTATCTAGTTATCCTCAGTAATCTAGTTACCCCTGGTTATCTAGTTATCTTGGTAATCTAGTTATCCTTGGTTATCTAGTTATCCTTTGTAATCTAGTTATCTTGGTAATCTAGTTATACTTGGTTATATAGTTATCCTTGGTTATATAGTTATCCTTAGTAATCTAGTTATCCTTGGTAATCTAGTCATCCTTGGTAATCTAGTTATCCTTGGTAATCTAGTTATATTTGATATGTAGTTATCCTTGGTAATCCAGTTATCCTTAGTAATCTAGTTTTGCTTGGTTTTCTAGTAATCCTTGGTAATGTAGTTATCCTTGGTAATCTATATATCCTTGGTTATCTAGTTATTCGTTAAGGAACCTGCGCATTCAGGTCCTGCTATAGTGAGGCCATCTTTGCCTCCGGTAAATGAAGACTGGCTTCCTGATCGCGAAAGATACACTATCTTGCCGTTCATTTTGTTTCGTCCCCTTGATCAGCTCCCTTTAAGTGTAAAATGGTTAAGTTGTGACCATACCTTCAAAGCTGCTATGAACGTTGGTTATTTTAGACATAGTGATAACAAATGGATTAACCAATATCGTTCGATATTGTGCATTTTGAATGAACTTGGACAGGTTCTTCAGTGGCAGTTGACAGCATGTGAAGGTTTTGAAGAGTTTGATGTATGTTCATGGACGTCAAGAAACGTTTGGATAAGAAAGATATATTATACCTGAAAGCATTTTCATTGACAATTGTTGTAAGTGGCGTGCAGCGATTAATAGTGTATTTCCAGACATTCCTGTCAAATTGGATTTGTTCCACGCAGTTCAGCGAATTGTTAAAAAGATTCCCAAAGGTCAAAAACTGAGCAAAGATATGGCAAACGACATAGGCTTGATATTTCGACATGGACAGGACAGGAAGTGTAATACACCAAAACCAGCAGATATCGAGAATTTTAGAAAATTTGAGAAAAAATGGAAAAATCCTAAATATAATGTGGTACATGCATATTGAGTAAAGAGATAGGAAAAGGAATAAAGAAACTAATGGTCCATGTTGAAAAAGGTTGTTTATCGGATATACCAGCAAGCTGCGGCACCTCAAAGAATGAACACGCTTGCATAAGGACATGAACAAATTTATTCGTTCTAGTCGGTTAGGGGTTGAGCTTGCGTATAATAGTATATTCCGAACACAATATATGCATACCAAAAAAAAAATTTAACAGCTACAACCATGTACAAGCGTTGTACCTCTATGGCAGAAGAAGAATATGACAGATCTATACTTGCAAATTCCCATTTGCAGGAAGACACAAATTTGCTCGAAAGCGGACCTGTTAATTGTGGAGTTTTTGGTATCAGGCCAAAAGTGAAACAATCTGAAGATGAAAAAGGACCAATACCATATGAATGTGAGAGAAAGGTAATAGGGTCATGTAGAAAGGTAATAGGGTTATGTAGTCGCTCTTGCAAATGTTCAGGTTATTGTGGAGATTCGGAGTGCCGAGAATCATTGAAATCGCAAAAGGGTGTAACCAAAAGAACATCGAGGAAAAGAGGGGCGCATGATAGAAAGAGTTCATGATTACAAAGAAAGAGAAGTTTGCAAAAGGAAATCTCAATGTCGCCGAGTTTTATTTGTTGTGCACGATAATCATTTTTACATGCATCGATATTGCCATAATGATTAAATCGTCATCCAATCTTTCCGTTCTATCAATTAGACAGTGGGATAAAAGTGCCTTAAATAAAAAAATAGCGAAGATATTGAAAGAGGAGAATATTTTGACAGTTTTGCCGACATTTCAGCGTAAAATGATGTATATGATCTGGCACTGACAAAACTCTTGAATATTTACACTTGGAGTTGTTTCTGTGCAATGTTTGAAATTTACTTTACAATGTTTGAAGTTTGCTTCGACTTTTTGCGTTTGCCATGTTGTTAATAGGTTGCTGACGTTGACGGTTATCTCTTTCACAATTCACCAGCTGAATTTAAAATGATTGACGGTCATTAAATGATTGCATTTTTAATTCTAGCCCTATGTTGTTATACAAGTTAAAACTATCATCCAATACGTACGGTTCTAAATTCTGCGAGCAGTAAGACTATTAGACTAATCCTGGATAAACCAGCAAGAACTCCCACTTGTGATCATTTAATACTTGTTTTTACAACTTACATAAATTTGCGCATCCTTTATTGTATAGATATATTTTCAACTATGTCGACAAATAACAGAATAAACAATGGTATTTGCATGTCTTACGTAAACACACAAAATACACAACCGACTAGTGATACTGTGATAGCTATAGGTAGGGGTCAAGAAAGAACAACAGTTTTTCTTCATATTATTAAATAAATTTTCCATTCCTTTCCATGCATTGTTGCTTTCATTGCTCCTGTTATATGGGCTGATACTATGCAGATACTACTACTAAGTCTATGGCCCTGATGTTTGTCTCAAAAGACACATACGATTAGTGAGATTTGACGTGTACTATAAGGAACCATAACTGCCAATCTGATGCGTTAGTCAAATCTGAACCTCTCTAATAATTAAATTAGAGCACGGATCGGGCAAGAAGCGGAGTATTCTTGATTAATTTATATATATTTTTAATTTAGACCTAACATTAGGAATTCGAAATTGCTGTAAAAAATGCAGCATTAAAACCAACTGGCAGGTGAGATCGAAGATCTGGTATATTTACATATCTTTGCAAACTAAAGCCTGTTTTCCTCTGAGCTCTCGGCTGGAACTAATTAGATTTTTAATAAATTTTTTCATAATTTATTTCTTGTTTTTATTTCTCAAGGATATATACAAAAGGTTAATTAATTAATTTTGCAACTGTTGTCGCCTGAAGATGGACATTTAAAATGTCCGAAACGTTGCAAAATTAATTAAATTAATCTTTTGTATATCCTTGAGAAATAAAAACAAGAAATACATTATGAACAACAAAGGTGAAAGTTTTAGAAACAATATTAATTTTTTTCAATTTAAACAATAGCCGTGGAAACCGCCTCTTAAGAGCGCTTGGCAAGCTTTGTAGTACATAGTTTGAATTGCCTGCAAGGCATATTGTCCAATCCAATAAGGCATATTAGTCGTTTTAGTAATAGTTACTAAAACTGTAACAGTGTGGGTAGTAGAAATGTATACTTGCTGTGCTGAGTGGTTATGTTACCACCTGAAAAAAAACAAGCGGAGAAACTCGACGTTTCGACCCTTCGTCAAGAGTTAGTATAGGGCCTTCGCTCAAAACGTCGAGTTTCTCCGCTTGTTTTTTTTTTCCAGGTAGTAATATAACCACTCAGCACAGTAAGTTTAGGAATAGTTCAAGCTATTTTTAGACTTGGGTTAGGATTAGTGAAGGGTTAGGATTAAGTTGGATTAGAGTAAGGTTGAATATTAGAGTCATGAGCGTAATAGCCTGCGAACAGGCCTCTCTTTGACTCATGGCGTGTGTGTGTGTGTGGGGGGGGGGGGGGGGGGGCTGCAACACACCTTGTTGTAATATTGCAGTTTTGTCGGGTAATTTAAACGACACACTCGTCGGACAAAAGAATGTAATTCAGAAAAAAGTGACGAGAATATTACTGAAAATTGTACACATTTTCGTATGTTAGTGAGAAATGGCATGTTCAACCCCCCCCCCCCCCCCGCCGACAATTATAAGGAGGGGAAAAAGGAAATTTTAACTTTCGAAAGTGGAAGCACTGATCGCAAAGACAAACAAAGCCACATACTGAACCTTGTCACCTCGAAGGTAGCCTGATCGGACTTATATTTTTAATAAAAATTTCCCCTCATGCAACATGAAAGTATGTGTCAAGGTAAGAAACAGATAACATATTTTCAATAGGTTTAGATAAAACTCCGAAATGACTACGGTGTTTTATATATATATGTATATATATATAATATAATTTTTGGTATTAAAACATGAGCAGCCGATCTTTTATACTATACAAACTCAAGCTGAAGGCGAGATAAAGATCAGATAAAGATCTGATGCGATATCATAAAGATCGGATGCGAAAGTTTTATTAAACATACTTAAAAAACGACCCATCTTAATATGAGTTCATTGGTGAAGTAATTTTAAATATAACATTAATTAATTTCTTTTCATTTTTCTTCATGAATTATTTTTAAATGAGTATTTTAAAATTTTAAATATAGCCTTTTTCTTGACCATGTAATAATAAATTATGTTTGTGATGTTACTCTGAGTGTATATCCACACCGGGCAAGCTTGAAAAATATGCCTGACCACGGTGAGAATCGAACCTACGACCCTTGTAATACTAGCCCACCATGGTCAGGCATATTTTTCAAGCTTGCCCGGTGTGGATGTACACTCAGTGTAACGTCACAAACATCATATATTCGCCTGAGAACATAACACCAACACAGAAAATTCATGATAATAAATTGTTTAAGGAAAATTAATTTGGAGGGCGGGGGAAGGATGTGTATAAAAATAGGTACGCAGTGCGTACATGTTGCATGCCATCTGAAAACTTATGATGCACTATAGCGCTTATATAAATCTTTGGCACAACTGGTGTGAAACTTAAAATATTGATTCAATACAGTAAGTTTAAAATATCAATATTATGTCAAAATAAGAAAACTTAAGATTCTCACGCAAATTAGCCTACGGTGTAGACCCCAGCAGAAACACGCGTATAGGCAATGTTTTTATAAGCGACCGTTAATAGTTAGTTGCAAGCGACGCTAATAATAACAATAACAAGGACAAGGTGGGTCAAGGTTTTATCAAATCTATAACTAAATGTTATTTCCTTTAAATTTAGCTTTACTGTAACTTCTTAAAGGTACAAAAAAACCGTGAAAACGGTGAATTACTATTATAGATTGAAAATGATTATTTATCATTTTGACGTTTGAGTGATTGAAATGAGTTAATAATTTACACTATATTGAATGTACTTCACAATGGTTGCTATTTCGTTGTATTAAATTTCAATAGTATGTATAAATACTATTTATAATTCAAATCTTGTTTGATATTTATATATCATGTTATTTACAAAATGTGCTGTAGTTTTGAAGCTTTGCACACAATACAATCAGTGCGAGCACAATGGCTGCGTTTCAGTTTGAAAAAATCGAGTATTTTGATAGCGTTCACAGCTTTCACGATATATAAATACAAACGCCTGATAATTGATAAATAATCACTAATCAGTGCGAGTACAACGGCTCCAAAATCACAACAAATAACAGAATATAAGGTAAGCTAAAAACAGCAAAGCTTTACCTACCTCGATTTATTTTTCTAAAGCGCTCAATTATGTAAATTTTCGGCAAATAATCAATATTTCTTTGCGTTTCCTCGACGAAAACCCGGCATGAAAATATTCGTCGGAAAAACTCGGTATTTGTCGTATTTTACGAATCTGCCACGTGACTGGTACGCTCACCGCTCACCACTCACCGACCGCGACACGAAATTTAGAGCTATATTAAAGTTGCAACAAAAACATGTAAATCCCTGTTGTCAAATCTGATGTTGCATTGAAAGAAGTGCATTTAGTTGTTGCCAATTATGGTTTCAGATTGCCAATTTAATAAGTATGATAAAGTTTGTCAGATATTATGAAAACTATTTCAGAAACATTACAAATCATACAGGTATTCAATAAAATAAAGAATCAATTGCAAGGATAACTTAAAGAACTAACATCAATTTACATTATTAATAACAACAGCCCCATTAAATGTGAATAATGTGAACACTAGTGATAACAAGTATTCTTATTGATTAGTCGCCTTTCTCTGCCTTTTTCCACAAACAGGCACTGTTAGAAGATCGACCAACGCCTCATCTGCCCGTCTTCTCCGTTTTCCTGCATTTCTCTTTACTGGATCATCTTTAAATTCTTTTGTTGTATCCTGCTCATTTTGTTCCTTTTGCTTAACTGGATCATCTCCGGGTTCTTTAACTTCTTTGGTTGTATCCTGCTCATTCTGTTTGTTTTGCTTTACTGTATCATCACCAGGTTCTTTGGTGTCATCACCAGGTTCTTTGGTGGCATCACCAGGTTCTTTGGTGGCATCACCAGGTTCTTTGGTGTCATCACCAGGTTCTTTGGTGGCATCCTCATCCTGATCATTCTGTTGCTGTGTCTGGCCACGTTTATTATTATCATTCTCTTCCTCGGATTCTTCAGATTCTTCTTCAGATTCTTCTTCAGATTCTTCTTCAGATTCTTCTTCTTCAGATTCTTCTTCTTCCTTGGTGTTCTGTAAAGTTTATCATAGTGTTGTTCTTATTACAGTCAAACCAGATGTTCTCTTGCATTGCATTTTTCTAACCCCAGCAGTGCTTCCTTGATTCTGATTGGTCAAGCCACTCGTAATGTTTCTGGTTGGCTAATTTGAATATCAACAAACTTTGAACTTTTATTTTCAAAATCGAAATTAATATTATTGTGACATTTGACTTAGACTGAGAGCAGCCCTCCTTTCTGCATGAGAAAGGAAAGGAGGGACTGCCAACAGCACATCAAGAAACAAAATTTGTGTTACCCGCACACAACACAAAATCCCCATTGGTCGAAATGCATGTCAATAAAATCTGGTATTATGTAGTGATTATGCTATAAATAATTTCCAAGCTGAATGTTGAATTATAAATAAACATGACATTAACAGTTCCTATTGGATAGGTTTAATTGGATATAAGTAATGTTTATGCAAAGGCAGAGTCAACATGACAAGAGCAAAAAGTGGGCATATTTTGTTTCTTGATGTGTTGTCTGCGGTCCCTACTTTCTCTTGAGGGACTGCTCGTGATCTACATATGACATTCATTGTAAATGTACTTCTCTGTGTGTCAAACCACTAAATTTTCAATACAATGCAAAGATGTCAGAGCAAACTGCCTTTCAAAATTGAAATATTGTGGGACAATGTTGCTTGCAAGAGAACATCCGGTTTGACTTTGAATAATGACAATTACTGAGTTCGATTTATTTTTTACTTTGTTCAGACGGCTGGAAGTTTGGAACTTTATTGACCTTTCCAATCAGAATGTTCAAAGTCTTAATTAACTATGATCAGATCTGGGTAGCACTGCTGTGTGTTGATAACCATGAATGCCACCACAATGTTTCATAGATTATGGCATAATACATTCTTTACGCAGGCTAGTGCCTTTCTGTTGATGAGTAAAATCATCTTATTATTATTATTATTATATTTATATTTATCCAGGATACCCACGTCACCGAAGTGTTTTTCAGTGGGGTCCTGCATTATAAATTTCAACTTCAATATACATATACATTACAAAATAACATGCAAATCTACAATAACATGCGTTAACATACTTATACTATATATATATATATATATACAAAACGTAATGGAACTAAGACTATGTTTACTATGTAATTCTCGCCTACACAGCGTTTTTTAATAGAGTTTTAAACTTGTATAACGAGTTAGCGTTTCTAATGTCTGGTTCTAGGTTGTTAAAGTCTTTTGATGCTTGGTAGCTTGGTCTTTGTTTTCCCTTGTTTGTGTTCGTCTTTGGGAGGTGGAGGTCGTTTTTTCTTCTCGTGTAATGGCTGTGAATGTCTTCGTTCTTTGTTAATTCAAATTTAAAGTCAATTAAATCATTTAAACATTTATAAATAAATATACATCTATGGTTATGTCTTCTAGCTTTAAGTGTTGTCCATTTTAGTCGTCGTAGTGCTTCCGTTGCAGAATAGCGTGAATGTTCATCTAAGATCAGCTTTGCAGCTTTGTTCTCTAAAGTTTGAAGGGAATCCATCAGCACCGAATTGTTGTTATCACCCCAAATGGTATCGGCATAATCAAACAGTGGCAGTATTAGAGACGTATAAAGAATATAACGTGTATCCAAGTCCAAGAAATCTTTGATGCGTCGTAGAACACCAAGTCTTTGATTAATTTTGGAGATTGTTTTGTCAATATGCTCGTGCCAAGATAAATCTTCACTAAAAGTAACTCCAAGATATTTCATTGATTTCTCCTGTGATACTTTTTCGTTCTGAATCATGATGTTTACATTGATAAACGACTGCTTTCTGTTGGTAAAGATCATGAACTTGGTTTTCTCGTAGTTTAAAGTTAGGAGATTGTTACTTAGCCAGTGTGAAAGTGATTGTAAATCAGCGTTTATTTTAGCTTCAAGCTCTGTTGTTGACTTTGCAGAGTAGTACAATAATGTATCATCAGCATAAAGAATCGACTTACAGTTATTAAGACATTGAAGCAAGTCGTTAATGAATATCAAGAAAAGTAACGGGCCCAATATGCTTCCTTGCGGCACACCAACGGTGACTGGCCTTGCACTCGATGTTGAATTGTTGATAGATGTGACTACTGTACATGATGACAAATAGGACGTGAACCAGTTAATGACAGACTTTGAAAAACCAAGATTTCTTAATTTCAAAATTAGCAGCTCGTGATCTACCGTGTCAAACGCCTTTCGCAAGTCGATAAAAACTGCACTGGTAACCAATTTATTGTCGAGATTGTGCAATATTTCCTCAGTGAGTTGTGTCAAAGCAATGCCTGTGGATAACTTAGGGCGAAAACCAAATTGTTCTGAGGTGATTAGATCGTGCTCTTGCAAGTACTCGTACACTTGTCTCATCTGGTGTTAGATGGAAATAATCTCGTACTGGGATATCCACAATGGGTTAAATTTTTTCAGTGTATCAAAACATTACTTCAATATTTATTTTGTAATGACAAATTAAAAAGAAATAACTGAAGGTACTATTTTGCAGAATCCATCATAGATGGGTAGTGGCTGACACTTTGCAAAATATTTGCTAGCTTTCTACATTTAGTTTGAGTATGTACAGCAAAATATTTTTGAAGCTGATCTACCTTTAGTTGTTCATTTGATATTGCTATACCTGTTCATTTATTGCAACTTTCACCCGTGTTCCCACAGGGAAATTACAATGAGACATATCTGATTCTTCAATGTTTATCTTGGTGCCAGGATTTATATTCTTTTCCAGTGGATTAATCACTACAAATTCTCCATTTTCCATTTTGCCATATGCGACTATTTTATTGTCATTTACAAGCCATTGGTTGTCTACAGAACCTTGGAACATAACATATTCAAAATCTATTACAGGCAAACTACATGAAGCATTCCTCTTTTGAGTTTCTAAATTGATTGCAATTTTTCTCATTACCTTTGCAATTAAGAAATTCCCTTGCAAATCACCTGAGGAAATTTGCAATGTTGCTAAAAGCAGATTAAATTTTCCTCAGTTCCTGTTAGAAGTTCTTAACTTCCTGTTACAAGTTCCTAACTTCCTGTTCTGTTCTGTGCGTTGCAATTGGCCAACAAAAATAATCCGCCAACAAAAATAATCCAGCAATGACATAGCCTCCTGCGCAGACGTTGTTTATTTTATAGTGGCCGAGGCCTCTAACAACATCTGCGCAGGAGGCTACCAATGACAATGCTCGGAACAGGAAGTCAGGAAATTAAAGCAGGAAGTTAGGAAAATTTAAAATGAAGGTTTTTTTTGCATTGGAATATTGCAACAGCCGATAGGAACATTGCAAATTCCCTCAAGAGATTTACAAATAGTTTTTCAAATTTGCAAAGCTAATGAGGAAAATTCCGAATGAGTTAGGAAGTGAAAAGAGGAACACTTCCCATATAAGTTTACCTGTAACCCATCAAGTTGCACTGTATCATAATGCACACTACATTATGTTACTCTGTCTAATACAAGACAATTTTGACGAATAGAAATAATTATGTTTAAAATCTTACAAACAATGGATAGCTCTTTTTAAATTCCTCTGTCAAAGTTTCATCTACAGTGAAAGGACACATTATGAGTGATAACCATTATTTTTTTTTAAAATTAGAAATAAATATCTTACCCAACTCATCAACTGGAGTTTGGTAATGTAGTACTGCAAGAAAAAAATACATTTACTTATTAATTAAATAAACACATATTTGACATGCTATGCAATAAATCCTTCAAGTTCAAAAAATGAAAGATTAATTAATGCTTCGATCAACATAATATGTTATGCAAAACATGTAGATGATGAAGAAGAAGAACTTATGATAAAGAACTTATGTACCTGATGATTACAGTGTAACCATTACACATACATGCTTGGTAAATTTGGAAATTGCAAAAAACGTTATTTTATGTCCCATGTTAACAAAAACCTGTAGCAAACCACAGCGATAGTGAAAAGTGATGTTACTTTTTTAAAAAAGCATCTTTTGATTCACAGATTTTTGCCAATGATGTGTAAACCATTTTGGAGGTTACTGCGCCACATTTTTCGACTAAATTGGACGTTTAACAGTATATCTTAAAACTTACATTTGTCAAGACTTTCCCGGAGTTGTTTTTGCACCAATGAACGTCGAAATATCACTGCACATGATTTATTGGAATTTTTATTCTTGATAGTAGTCTCTTGAATATTTTCTCTTAGGAAGTTCTTCTTGACATTTACTTCACCCAGCTTGTTTTTCTTTATGTTTTCTATTGTACTTTTACTTGGGGTTGTCACTCCATTTTCGAAAAGGTATTTGAATCCATTATTCCGTTTTATAGCATAACATTTGGCTCCGGAAAGTGCTGTGGATATTACCACTGGATTAATATGTTGCAATAACTATTAAGAGAAAGAGACAGGAACATTGTTTTTAACAATTATGTGAACTTAAAACCACTGCACTACACTGCTACAGTAACCCATTTTTAGCAACAGTCAACTATTCCCTTGATGATTAAATTGTGTGGCATTAACCCTGTACTGTAGTAACTAAGAACTAACTAGTATTTTATTTGATCATTTTCAATTTTCTTTGATGCAGTCACCATAAAAGCATGTTGTGAAATTTAATTGCAAAACAATTTAAAGTGAATTACTTTTGTTGTCTTTAAAAGAGAATCAACCAATTAATTAATAACAGCAAAAAAGTCCCATATTATCTCCTTTAATTTTTTTATGCACTGCTATTCAATACTTTAATTCATTCATTCACATACCTTTGGCATCTGAGACTACTGTAAATGGAAAATTTCAGCATGGCTACAAACATTATGTAATAGCTAGTTTGTACTAATTAATAATTCATGAAGAAAATGTTACCTGATGTTTTCTGTGTTGGTATAATGTACTCAGGTAAATATGACGAAGATTTCAACTGTGGTTTCCGTTTTAAAAGAGGGTAATCGGAAGCAATTGAATGAAAAATATCAGGTTTATCGCTGGACAATAAAGATCGGTTAAACTCATAAGATGGGTAGTTCTTTTAAGCCCAGCTCTTTAAAACGGTGACTTCCCACTAGTCCGAAGGTTCACTAGTCTGAAGGTTCACTAGTCCGAAGGTTCACTAGTCTGAAGGTTCACTACTCCGAAGGTTCACTACTCCAAAACATACGCTGATTTTGAATTGCAATTACGTGTTAGACTTGGCTGCTTCGCAGGTAAAGCATTTTTCGTACCTGCATACACGCACGGAAAAATTTAAATCCACTTGAAAGTCTTTTGTCCATTTAAGAAATAATTAAATGAATAAAAGGATAGCATTTAGTTTTGTGTTTGATTTTAAATGTATTTTTTAAGTAATTATAGTACTTATACTGGTATAAAATTTAGAAAGATTTATAAACTTTTCCGAGTGTATATATGTAGTACTACGTGATAAATGTCATTGGACGTTTAGTCATTGGATGTTTAGTCATTGGACGTTTAAGGCTGCATTTTTCACATACATATTGATGCACTCGGAAAAGTTTATAAATCTTTCTAAATTTTATACCAGTATAAGTACTATAATTACTTAAAAAATACATTTAAAATCAAACACAAAACTAAATGCTATCCTTTTATTCATTTAATTATTTCTTAAGTGGACAAAAGACTTTCAAGTGGATTTAAATTTTTCCGTGCGTGTATATGCAAGTACGAAAAATGCTTAACTGGGAAGCAGCCAAGTTTAACACGTAATTGCAATTCAAAACCAATGTATGTTTTGGACTAGTGAACCTTCGGAGTAGTGAACCTTCGGACTAGTGAACCTTCGGACTAGTGAACCTTCGGACTAGTGAACCGTAACCCTTTAAAACACTCTCAGTCTGTGCTTTAAATTAGCTTAATTAAATAAAAAAAAAACAACTCTCGGCTGCAGTCGCCTCAAGTTTACGTTATATGAAATCAAACAGCATAAATAAATGCTGTGTATGTATAAATATACCTGACTAGGTGTTTCATCAGCTAACTTCACAACCATTTCTTCTATCAGACTATTAATCACTCCTATATAATGAGGAGTGCTGTCTGGAGATTACATCACAACTGCTGAGGGTATTTGGAATTTAAGGCACATCTCGGCGACTTCATTCTTAAAGTAATCTTGTAACTCATCCATTGATGGGCAATTGTCAGGATAAAGATTCATCAGCTTGAATATTTATATGAGAAACAATGTTAGGATAAATAAATTAAAAATACAATTGGAGTTCAGTCAGTTAACCCTTTAAATTGCAATGCACCCCGATGCACCCAACTTTATAATTTTACTCTGTATTATAACGCCAGACAATTTCATTCATCAGGTGGAGAGTGCTGCCACTCAATGGTTAATAAGCCACTGAAATCAGACAGTGAGCCACATTCCCTGGCTGTTGTAGCATATAGCCATGCAACCATGGCAAGAATCAAGCCTAAATTGGCATGGCCAATCATGAAGAGGGCAGTGTGAGAGTGCAATGTCTGGAATAACAAACAATACAAAAATCAACACTGATTAGGTTGTCCAGCCAATTGTGAAATTGAACAATCTTTGATCGGTGGTAATTTCTGATTGTGGCATGATTTACATAGTTGACAGAACTGCGACACCACTCTTCAGTAAAATCGTCTGGCGTTGGACAGAGTAAAATACTAAAGTAGAGCGCATAATGCCACTTAAAGGATTAATTATATTATAATAAATTATTATAATTGTATTTGTGTAATTAAGGTACTGTAAATTTAAGGTATAAATTTGGTTTATGACTGACCTTTCGGATGAAGAACATTAAAATAATATAATTTCTCAAAACTCTAGGTCCAACATCTTCACCAAAGCATTCCAAAACAATGGGAATACATTCATCACTGATAAAATTTTCATCAGTTTCCAATTCTTTGCCAAGTGATATCAGCAAGCCTATGGCTCTGCTTGCCTTCTTTTTTGCTTTGTCAAGATTTTTCATGTAGGTAAGTTGTTGAGATATCCCAGTTGGCGTTGTTACAGCAGGGAAAGGTAATAGAACCACCCTTCCTTTCTCTCTACATGAAAACAAGAATATATCAGAATAAAGAAAGTTAATTTTTTTAACTAAAATATAAATCTGTTCATGTATTACTCTAAGGCCCATTTAAACTTGCAATTTCTGATGCGATTTTCTTTGCCAGTTTGATGGATGTGAACGAGTTCATGAGTTATATACTGTTCCACTCGTTTATATCCATCAGAAGAAAATTGCAGCAAAAATTGCTAGTGCAAATGCATGGGTCAGTAAATGCAGTACTGAGTGAATTATGTACAGTATGGTCAGTACATTTAGTCAAGCATGCAGATTCAGTCAAGACGGTGGCATTTTTGAAACTATAATCATTGGATTTAAGTGTTGGCACAATTAGAATTTGCAGATAATTCCCGTACAAAAATTTACAGCCTGACTGAGCGAGATTCTGGCCAGAATCTGGCCATTAACTAATTAAAGCAGCGGTAATTGAGCGAGACGCAACCAGACATTGGTTTTGTCTCGCTGCCTGTTACGAACGAGACATTTGTATCGCTTGTTTATGGCCGAGAATTTGGCCTGAATGAGCGTGACATCGCAAGACAAATTGTCTCGCTCAAACGAGACAATTGTCACGCTGCTTTTACAGCAAAACATGGACAATAATATAGCAAGGCAGAGCGAGACAAGCAACAGAAATTCCTTTGCGTGCCATGAAATTGTGAGATTATTATCATATCCGGCGAAAATTGAAAGAAACTGAGCACGACAAGAGCGTTACGTTAAAAATTTAATTTGTTTTGTCTCGGATGACATTAAGGCGCGCAATTTGAGTTGGTTAAAATTTATTTTGCTGTACACACGCATCGCTTCCAAGCAGCGAACCATACACGGTCGGTCGAACAAGGGAAAAGTTGCGGATTTTCAACAATGATCATCGTTATATATCGCGCTGCATTCTCGGTAATTCTTCAGCCAGGCGACGTTAAAGTCAAATCAATAGTGTCCCTCGCAAAATTTCTGTGCGACTTTGATATTCAAGGCGTTGGCAGTATATGCATTGGAGACAGTCTTCAAGTTTCTTCTAAATGTAAGTAATTAATCTCAACGTTTACCTGTTCTGTACAGATCGAGTTCTGTGCGTGATACCGCATTACATCATTTACTTTAAATGTAATTATTACGCTTTCAAAACCATGCATTGCGAACAATATTTTTATAGGTATGAAAAACTTTAGATGTTTATACGTTTTACAGTGACAGAAATGTGCTGGAATAGAAAGGCCTACAAGTACAAAATATTCAAGGCCGAAATTAAAATCCGATTTTCATATTTGTCATAAATATGCAATGGCAAAATTAAGTGTTTCATTTCATGTCTCGCCCAATGTCTCGCTGGAAAATGTCATGTTTGAGACACGCCGTGTATCGCTGTGTATCGTCACGCTCATTATCGCTCATGTCTCGCTCAATTTATGCCCGATTACGCTGTCACGCCATGATTATCACTTTTATCCTTATACTCAATTGCAAATGTGCTGTAAATGTCACTAAACCCAAACTGTCAAACACAAACAAACAAACAAACAAACAAAGCAAAATTATTTGTTATAACCACAAACTATGCAACCATTACATTATTAATTCATATGGAAATCAGTACATTGTTTGCTGCAAATTAATCATTTAGAAAGGCCAATTCAATTACGACAATACTAGTAGGCTAAAAACAAATGTTACCTGGTGTTGGTTAACAGCCTTGGTAACTTATCTTCATTGAGTGTATAAAGACATGTAGTTTTTGGGACATGTGTTGACTTCACAGTTGCTCGCACTTGTCCATTGAAGGTATTATTGATTAATACCCTGACGTCATCTAGGTTATCTGGATCATCAAACACATATGGGATGGTCGACGATGCACATTTCAAACTTGCCTCTGCAGCTGTCTTGCAAGACCTTTCTCCTGATTTCCAACAAGTGATAAAAAAGCCTTGGCTGCTGTTGTTTTGCCAGTGTCATTTGGTCCAAGGGCAATTGGTGAAGGACACTGACCAAACTTTTCTTGTATGGTTTCATAGTGCATTGCCATCACACCCGAGGCAATAAAGCAAAAAGCTGATACAAAATTTGTCCCTAAAATTATATTATAAAATTATATATATATATATATATATATATATTATTTATTGAGCGTTCTCTGACTTAATATTTATTTCTACGAGCTTTTGGCTGTCAGTCTATAGCCTTCGACGGGTGTATACAAAGGCTATAGACTGATAGCCGAAAGCTCGTAGAAATAAATATTAAGTCAGAGAACGCTCAATAAATAATGTTTCAACCTGGCTATGCATCTTCTATTTTTTCATATATATATATATATATAGATAGATTACATACATACTGTCATACTACTATAAATTTGGATTAAAAAATAAAAATCTTTAAACAATAGGGAAATTTTAAGATGATGTCCACTCAGTGTGTGCATGCGCAAACTTTGTTTATGTTTAACGTTATGAACTCCTATATTTGTAAAATATGATATACTAACAGAATATTTAACACTTTTCTGGGTTCTCTATACTTGTAAATGAATATAAATTCTACGTTTCAATTCAAAAAAGTTTGAAAGATGCAAAATTTGGGCAATGTTTATTGGGGTCCCTTTGTTATGAGCAGAACTGATGCACACAAAATTAGTAAGTATACAAAGTTTGAAGCCATTTACATTTATACCCTTCGAATATTAAGCTTTTGAAAATTGTGAAATTACTGATTAAAAGATTGTTTTTGGGACGCGCGTCCCAAAAACAAAAATTACAATACATTTCATAGTAAATATCGCGATTCAGAACGGCTAATTCATTTCCTTAGCCTCAAGTTGATCAATTCATACGAATTCAAATTTATTTTTACTTCCTGTGCGTTTCCTATTGGTCAGTCGGTTCTGAAACGAAATCTAATTGGCTCATTTTTGATCAATTTGATCAATTTGATCAATTGATCAATTTTCTATCAAATGAATTGATCAACTTGAGGAAATGAATTGATGCAATATTTTATCAACATTTCTATTGCATCGACAGTGAATTGTAGTATACAAAATACAACCTGCATGCATTAGTTATTAATAGCAATGAATATATATGACAATCATCAACTGGCTGCGCTTTTGACTAGTTTATCCTCTCTTATCTAGGCCTAAATCATGCGTATCATCGAAGTGTCGACACGCAAAAAATAATACTCAATCGTCACACCCAAAAACATTTACTACAAAAAACCACCCATGTGCGGTCTCCTTGGTTAGCACTTTTTTCCATCCAGCGAACCGCCCCTATCGATTTTACAAAGTCGGGTTTTTTTTATTAATAGTTCGGTTAGGGTTAGGGTTAGGGTTAGGGTTAGAGGTAAGGTTGCGGTTAGGGGTTAGAGTAGAGTTGGGGTAGGGTTTGGGTTAGTCACATAGCCATTTAACACCTCTTCTATCTTCCGAAAAAGACGTCAGGTCAGTTTGCTGGATGGAAAATAGTGCTAACCGGTCTCCTTGCTTAAAAATAGATCACGGCACCGCCCACAAATATTTCCAAATGTCGCGACTAGCACGTTTGATTTTAAAATAGTATAAAGCGCTTTATAGACATACTTTTAAGTCTCGGTAGTTTGAATTTGTGAAGATTGATATCCTTTCATAAACATTCAAAGTAAAATTGCTTCAAATATTGAAACTAAATGATATTTGCTATTTTAAATCGAACGTGCTAACAAGTCGCGACATTGAAATTCCTTTTTGTCTGTGAGCGACGTTTGGAAACGTTTGTGGGCGGTGCCGTGATATACATTTTTACACATGTATTTATAGCATAAACAGAAGCGTTTTATATAGATATAAGCTTTTAGCTTTTCATAAACAGAAGCGTTTTTAGTTTATCGATCTTGCTCGTATTTTTTACAAGTATGCATGTTTGCTGGAAGAGGTGGAACATGTGGTCAGAGGATAAATCGAATCGAATAAATTTGTAATTTTTTTTTGATGAAGAACAATACTTTCGGCTTTACACCTGACATACTGGGGCCGGCTGTCTAAAAAAGTGATTAAAGTTAACTATGATTAAGTGCAAACGTCATCCAACAAGAAGCGCCTATTTGAGAGTTAATCACTATTTAACTACAAAATATTGATTAAAAAAGTGATTAAGAGTTTTATACAACCGGCCCCTGCCCCTGGTTCAACAACTAAAAGGAAAAGACTGTCTAAACTAAAGCAAAATTTCAGATATTTTGAATATCAAATATATGGATCATGACAAAGACTGGATTGACCATACATGTTGTGATTTTGATTAATTTGCATTTTGTCGATCGATATGGTTAATTCAGCCGAAATTATCCACGACAAAGAGTATATTTTAATACTGGTAATATTCTTCAACAAAAATATTTACGAATTTATTCGATTCGATTTACTCCCCAGTCCACATGTGATGTTCCACGTTAAATTCGTATCTGCGACCTCCAATTGCAGCAAACATAGTGGGAAAAAATACGAGCAAGATAAACTAAAAATTCTTCTGTTAATGAAAAGCTAAAAGCTTTTATCTTATTAGCTTGCCTTACAAATTCGGTTACAAATGTGTACATTTTTGGACTGAAACGTAAATGTTTTTGGGTGTGGCAATTGAGTTAATATTTTTTGGCGTATCGCAGGGCTCGAATTTTATCGCGGTAATTGCCGTAGGAGGAGAACAAAATGCCGTGGATCATTGCGGCAATGACGGCAATTTTTTGCCGTATAGTGCAATTTTTATACTGTTTATAATGCATTGTAATATTAATCATACGAGCATATTAAAACTGCATAAATTGTACATGAAAATTGTAAAATGGTTCAACTGACTACAGTTGTACAGAGCAAGAAGTATTTATTTAAATCAGGTGTATATTACAGTCAAATCCTGTGTCCCGTTGCCAGCAACATTGCAATATTGTCACGCAATATTGTAATTTTGCAGTTGACGGTTTAGTACTGTTACTGTTTGTAAGAATTGCAATTTGTTCGCGTCGGTTGCAAACGTAACACCGGATTTGACTGTAATAAACCCGCTTTTTAATAACAACAAAATAGTGATTAATTTTTACATACAGTAAGTGTCGCTTTTTTAGGGACGGACGGGGGGGGCGGGGCAAAACCAAAAAAAAATATTCCCAGAAAAAAATAGGGAAAAAATCTTTCCAGGCATAGTGCAAAAAAAAAATTCCTTGCTTGGATGATAGGCCTATAAAAAATATTTCCAGCCATCAAGTGAGAAAAAAAACATTTCTTCTATAGGTGTACAAAAAAATATATATTGCCTCTTAGAAAATCCCCCCCCCCATCACTTTTCTAATGGTCCGTCCCTTAATGTCAGGTCTTTCGAAAAAAATATTATGCATGTCATCGAAGAAGTGTCGATACCAGGCCTTGAATTTCCCTGAAATCAATCGACGGCAATGGCGTTAAAAATTGCCGTGGAACGTAACAGCTGTCTACGGCAATTCAGGGCAGCATTTTTCAAATTACTGTAATAAAACTTTAATTTTATTGTTACTTTGGATTTTTGACCAACCTCGTCCCCAGGGCCTATTGAGGAAGGAGGCGAAGCAGCAAAGGCCCTGGTAAAGGCTGGTCACGTGATGCTTAAAATTTTGAATATTTCAGAATATTTAACTTTTCAAACCGGGGGTGCGGGCCGCTTTGATTTCATTAAACATGGCCGTGCAAAGGTGCGATAGAAGCTTTTGAGGATAAACTTTTCAACAAATAAATAAATAGCCTGCGATGTTTTTCAAAACAAATATGGAATATAATCAACAGTAATACTTGTCGAAGATCAAGATTCAAAAGAGAAGAGTGTAAACACTTTATAAATACTGACAAGTGACAACACTAAATATTTCTTTTCATATTGGATATATTTATATTTGTCGTTTGGGAGTTAACATACTATCAGCGGTAACATACTATCAGTGAAGTGTTTGATCTGTGACTTTTATGTACATTTATGAAATAACTACTGAATGATGGGCCTGTAAAATGTGATTGGAACGTTTTAATAATTTAATATGAACAGTTGGACTGTCACTGTCACTGACTCACTGTCATGAAACTCGTGACGTTTGACAAACGTTTGACATATTTTAATGTGGAACAAACATTAAAAAACATTTAAAGTCCTGTACCTAGTGACAAAATTCCATGCTGACCATGGTTTACGTATTATGTATGTATTTTTACTAAAAGTTTTTTACCAATATATATATATTGTTTTAAAACCTTTGTCGTTATACTTGACAACCATCAATATCAATTGATAAACAAATACACAAGTCAGTATATTACGAAAGTCAGCAAATTGTGGAATCGCATAAAAAATTTGTATATCGACCACTCCCACAAAGGTCTACGACCGCGCCTACAGAGTTTTGCATGTTTACAATTCTAATTTTGAACAGCCAATCAGGTTCTTGGTAACAATTACAATTAAATGTCGATTGGCTGTTTAAAATTAGAATTGTAAACATGCAAAACTATATAGGTGCGGTCATAGACGTTTGTGGGAGTGGTTGATATACAAATTTTTGATGCAATTCCACAGTTTGCTGACTTTCGTAATATTTGTTGATAGAAAGTCTATATAGTATATTACAAAAAGCAATATCACAAATCTGAAGTAATGTGCATGGTCTAATGATTTTTCTCAGTCAGCAACTGGGCTGTTTGTGGCAATCAGGTATTCTTGGGGCTTTTAGCTTGGTTTTTCCACTTAATATAGAATATCCCGCAACTTTCACACTTTATCGCTATTAATTCTTTGTAAAAATAAGTCAATTTACTCAAAATTGGTCATTTATAAATAAATTAATGCTGCGTTCTTCAAAAAAAACCCAGTCAAAGTTGAACCAAACTAACATATTCATGTGATTTAATTAATTTTTAAACTTTACCTTCTCTAAACTATTTTGAAGTGATTCTTGAACTTATTTATGTGTGGAAATGAATGCAGGAAAGTGGTGGGTATTATATAGTATTCCAGTTTTTTATGTGTATATTCGAACCTTCACTGTTGAGAGGGCATGCCATGGGTCTCCTCAAATTATCTGAGCATTTCAACCAAATCAACACCTGCCAAATGACTGAATCATACCATACAAATAATATACCTGGAAGCTAGGTGACTTACATCATATTGTGTCATTTAAATACTAATATTTGTTTTCTCACAGTTAATGATATACAAATGCACTTGTAATGTACAGTGAATTGCCACAAACAAACATCAACCACAAATCAGTTAATTTAGTGTTAATAATTACCAGCAGAGTTCTGCAGGTGTATAGGCATATAGCAATAATAATTATTATCTAACTGGCACAAACATCACCAATGATTTTAAAAATTGCATGTGCATATTTAATATCCCATACTTCAAATCCAGCAAACAAGTCCTCAGCAGACTTAATTGTATGGCATCTCAAAACAATGGAGTCTATGAGCTCCACGGTAACTCCAGTACTTATGTCTATTCCGCCAAACCTCTTAGTGCCTAATTGAGACCTGTATGCTATCAGCTGGTCTCTGATCCTTTGTCGTTGCCCATCAGAAACATTTCGAACAGGTATAAGCTCTGGCACATCTTCATCATCATTGCATGAAGTGTCTGGAAATTCCTTACTCTTTGTGCAATATAAGCATTGACAACATTTGGAACATTTTTCTGTGTTGGTGTTGTGTACTCAGGTGAATAATATGTTTGCGATGTTACTCTGAGTGCATATCCACACCGGGCGAGCTTGAAAAATATGCCCGGCCATGGTCGGATTCGAACCTACGACCTTTGGAATACTAGCCCAATGCTCTTCCAACTGAGCTACGCGGTCAGGACGGTTCGAGTAAGTGATATTTCGGAACAGTATCTAGTTCCTTCAATACCAATGTGTTCTAGTAATATGAATTTTTCTGTGTTGGTGTTGTGTACTCAGGTGAATAATATGTTTTCCTTGGTACTCCAATGTGTATAACATGCCTTATGTCATGAATATTCACACCAATTTCAATGGCGATTGTAGCAAACACGACACGAACAACTCTATCTTCATTCTTGCCAGTCAACTGTTTCATGATCTCATGCTTCATCCTCTCAGTTTGTGGTGCATGGAACTGAGCAAAAAGACAATTTTCTGGATTTTTTTCCGATTGGGGAAAATAGCTTTTCTCTCCAATTTCATCCATAAATAGTTTAAAAGCATAGCCACACCATTTCAGTGGCAAGTATATTAACGTGAGTGGATATTCCCTTAAACTATTCTTTAAATCTTTAGCAATTGGGAGAAGTAAGGCGTTATAGCTGTTCGATCCATTAGACCAGATTCGTTTTTCTTTTCTGATGTATATATTTGGTCTATCCAAATTAGCTACTACGAATACAGGTTTGTAAAGTAGTAGAGATTTTACTATTGTTTCTCGGATATGTAACGGTGCGGTCGCAGTAAGGACTAAGAAAGGTGCGGATGGAAAAATGGAACCCAACTGAGATAATTTCCCAAAATCAGGACGAAATTCGAACCCCCATTCGTCTATAAGGTGTCCCTCGTCAATCACGCATGCAACAACACGTTGTTGAAAAACGTCTGACAGCAGTACTTTTCTGCCTTTTCTGGAGGAGATAACTGCTTCTGGGTGAGCAAAAACTAATTTTGCATTTCCTTCTAAAATAATTTTACAAGGGCTTTCTAATTCATTGTTACCTGCTTCGTCGTCCATTCCATCGTCTTGGTTATCAGGGTTGATATGTTTTACATTGTTAGTATTTAAGACATCAGCTTCGATACCATTACGTCTTAGACAAGCCATTTGATCTTCAATCAAGGCATTTAATGGTGTTAGAACTAAAACAATACTTGTTTCCCGTATGTCTCCTCCTTTTGCGTTAAAGAAATCGAAAATAAAGGGGAGCAAGTGGAATACGACAGACTTTCTGTAGCCAGTTGGAAGGACTGCAAAGGTGTCTCTTCCTAAAACTAACGACTCTAACACTTTGTACTGTTTCACCTTAAGAAACAAATTATAATTTGACTTATCTAAAGCGTAGCGAACCGCATTTATAAAAAAATCAAATGAATACATTGTTGTCGAAAGAAAAATTACGATAATACTGGTAAACAAACTCTAAATCATGTACGTTCCCATGCGGGATAGATGGGCGTTACCTTTGTTTTAATGATTTGTTTGTTAAGTATATTATTAATATACAATATGTTTGCCGTATAATGCTCTAAAAATATCTGTATTTAGTGGTTAGTCATTCGTATGTTACAATTTTTAAGTGTTTTTTTATAGAAGCGAATAGTTTATACCACATTCCTATACAGTTTTGTCATTAAACGTTTATAGCAAATGACACTTCCAACTGGAAATTCCCAAGGGAAATTCCCATTTACTGGGTTACATAAATGGGCGTAACATCAATTTTCAAGTGTTTCTGACCGATTTTCTTGCATGATACACTGTTGAAAAGCTCGAATTTCACGTTCTATTTTCGTATCCGTTGCTAGGCAACCCGATAAACACGTGCTCAAATATCAATGCAAAGAAGAAGGTTATTATATTATGATTTCATAGTGGTAACTATATAGACCCATTGCACTGACGTCACAAAGTTTTACAGTGTGTTTTCCAGATCACAGAATATACTCCCCAAAGGCGGTTTTCCACTAGCAAAGTTTTTTCGCTCGAAGCGACCTTTTTCCTTTGTCGGAATGACTTCGTCAGCAAGACGTTGCAAAATGGAATAATGGATGCCGGCAAAGGAAAAAGGTCGCTTTGTATTCGCTTCGCACCAAAAGTTCGCTAGTGGAAAACCGACTTTAATGTCCAGACACAACGGACGTGATTCGACAACGCGATTTTTTAGTTTTTGAAAGTTAATAAAACAGCCAATGAGAACACATTTTATAGCGCTTCTAAATATTTGGAAGATTTAATTTAGGATCAAATTTATCGGTCAGTGAAAATCGAAAAATCGCGTCGCGTTGTCGAAATTCGCATGGTCATTTGGTATGCCTGATTGGCCAATAGAGTGTCCACGGTTTTTCTTTATCCACAAACACGTCACAAGACAGACAATTAATTAAATATAGGTTTATTTTTCAACGTATTTAACGAAAGTAGGAGGGAACTGCCTTTGGCAAATGTTGTAGAGTCAAGGGATTTCTTCACAACATACACATGATTAATGATTTTAAATTTTAACAATGCTGCTTATAACAAGATTCTTAACTCATTAACGCGCAAGCTGTTACAATGTTTCTACCCCCCTAATGTGCAAGCAATATGGCGAATACGTGACTGAATTCAAGAGCTTTCACCAAAATGGCAATATCTCAGAAACAGTCGCATGAAAAAATCTGGTCTTTTCAACCAAATATTATTAATATATGATTGACCAAATTTAGTTTAAATGAACTTGCATACCTATATATATCATTAATTTTTTCAATGAGAATTTTTATTTGTAAACCAGTGACACTATTTTTTTCATGTCACTCATCACCTAAAGGGGCAATATCTCCATATATTTATATAAAAAAAAAAAAAATTATTTACTAAATTAGTACATATCTATATTATAACCAATTTTCATCTATTGGGATATGAATTAGAAAATGATCAAAAATTATAAAAAATACTCCTTTGCTTTTTTGGGCAAGATGTTTACAACATGAAATTTAGAACAGTAACTATAAGTCTTAAAATTCAACAAAGTGTGCAAGCCAAAACACAGTGCTTGTACATCTTTGGAGTTTTTAATTACCTCAAATATATTTAAAAGGACATACGGTACTAGAATCTATTTGTTTTCAATATAAACCAAGGATGGGAAGGTGAGAAAATAGGAATTTTCTGAGGTGTTTTTAACACAGACAATGACAGCCGACATTTTCAAAGGCAAATTGCGGTGACAAAACCAAAAGTTATTCACTTCTCTACTCAAAGCACTGAAAAACACCATAAAGAGAAAAACATTTTAAACATACATCAGGTAAGCCTTTTAGCTCAATTTTCTCATGTTTCTGTTTGGAAAGAAACGGTTTTTAGCCAAAATTATTTTGCGTGCCAATGTAGGCTGCTATAAAATGTCAGACATGCGTTCTCTTTTGAAGTCTGGCTCTGAAAAACAATCGCTTTTTTTTAGTTTGAAATAAGCTTTCATTAGGACTAATTGTGTAGAAATGTTATCTGTATGCTCAAATGAGAAAGATAACCTAATAGTCAGGTATTCAACATAGCTATAAAAGGGTGAAATAAGGACTTTCATCTTTGGTTGTTTGTCAGACATGAGAAACCACATTAGTGCCATTTTGTCGCGCGTGCTATTTTATAAAATAAACACCTCAAAACCATAACCTTTTAGTTCAGAAAATTACAAAGTTTCCCATAGACATTATTAAAAATGTTCTAGTGAAACGATTTCATGATAAATAAGCGAGCAATGGGCCCGAAAGGATGGCTAAATTATGTTTTTGGTGGGACTTCAGTTTCATGGCTTCCCGCAAAGGAAGCCATTTCAGAGAGAAGCGACAACAACGGCAAACAACCGTCGCGACCAAATTTTGATAACTTTTCCTTCTGATTCAACATGTAGTTACTAGAAAATGAGGTTGGATCAACATTACTATCTGCCTTATCGATTTAAAGTTTTATGGGGATATAAAACCCAATACAAAAAGCATTTTAAAAGCATTAGAACTCAAGTGCGGACTTTTTGAGAATTCGCACGCGGCAAGCAAGCGCATTAATTCAATACACTTATTTCAAACCACAATATGTCTGAAACGAGTTGTCATTTTAAGACTAAATTGATGAAAATAGATATAACAGTGATTTTGGAGTACCCTACTTACTTAGTGTAATTTAATATTCTTGCCAAATAGGGCACGTACGCACACAGTAATTTAATCTGGTGTCGTTTGAAACATACTTTAGCTAAAATAACAACTTGAACAAGAAGACCAACAATGGGGTTACGAAAACAGTCGAAATTGTGCCCAAATTTGCATAAACAGTTCGTCTAAAAAGATAACTTTAAACTAGATTCAACCAACATTAATGCAGTCGAATTTTGTGAGTGTTTGATCGCATATTTCTACTCAAAAATACCCTTTAAAAAATCGTATCTGCTCACTTGTGTTCCGTGTTCATCTTTCTTGTGATTTCCGACTTCTATTTTTAATAAAGTTTGGAGAAATCCTCATCTTTTTGGCCTGAAAATCTCGCGCATGGTTCACAGAAAAACTTGGCCCCAAAACGTCAATACATTCGCTTTCCTTTCATGCCAAATTTTCGTTGTAGTTGATTCAGAAACCTCTTCTTTTCTTGCTTTTAAAACTTGCTGTAAAATCTTTCTTTGTAACAGAATCGCCATTATTCATTATTTTTGGAAAACTAAGATTTTAAACTTGAAAAACTTTGCGAGTTTCTGACCGATTTTCTTGCATGATACACCGTTGAAAAGCTCGAATTTCACGTTCTATTTTCGTATCCGTTGCTAGGCAACCCGATAAACACGTGCTCAAATATCATGCCCGCAAGTTAAGGTGTCATGCCAGGGCGCATTCGGGCGCATTGTCCGTTACCCACTTGTCAATCTCAGGGCGCATACGGGCGCATTGGGCGTTAATGAGTTAATGCCCGGAAATGCTTGTTTAGGAACTCGGTTACTTGATCTGTCATAATCTTTTCCGGTTTGCGCCCGGATGTTAGGATGACTTTGAAGGCTTTGACAAGGGTGGGACCCATTTTGTCTTTCAGGGGAATGACCCATGCATACTTGGAAAAGACATCAATACATACAAGCAAATAATGGTACCCATCGTTAAACTTTTGCATGGATTGCATATCGGCCAGATCCATTTGCCATTGCTGATCAATACCGCCACAATGACACGGTTCCATTTAAAGTGACGCCGCATGGGTTTATGCAGGCTGTAGGTGTCCTGTTTCATTAACCATTCTTTAATCTGCTTTCGGCTTATTGCAAATTTGTCTTCCTTTCTTACGTCCCCTGTACAAGCGTTCTGCATCGCCGAATCCTCCAGACCGTTTCGGATTGTAATAAACGCTAGACAAGTAGTCATCCATGTTCACGCGCAAAATGAAAGGAAAATGTCATTCTTCGGCGTTTTGAACGCTACTCTCCTGGGGGTTTTCAATGAATTTGACGCTACTCTCCTGGGGTATTTCAGTGGATTTGTAGTTTTTAATGGTTTTACTACAGTATCCCACTTGTACATGCGCCTCGAGATTAAGATCATTTCGCCCTGCACTCATGCCTATTCTGAACATTTTCTGTTTATTATGATTTTTGTTAAACTTTGGTCCTTTGCTGTGGGAATGTCCCATGACGTACACTTCGGTATGAGAGAAGGTTTCGGGTTTGCATTAACATATAAGGCGTTCTTTCATCTAAAAAATTGGTTATTATTTTCAACTAAGCAAGGGATAAGCATGTCCAAACCCATTGATATTGATAATAGCGAATTTATTCTCTATCAACGTCAGAAGCTTATTGTCAAAAGACTGATGAAGGTTTCCGCTGAAGAAATTGCCCCTATCACATCTCAGTTGATTATTGAAAATTGCAACGGTTGCATGACAGAACATCTGTCCCAAACGCATCATCAGTTTCTTACAATGGAAAAAGACGAACAGTTGTGTCTGTACTTTGATATTGCTTTAGACAGGACCTCAGAAACAAAAGTGATGGAAGCTTTTACGGAAAGTTTGAGCGATATGAAAGTATATGATTTCAAATTAAGTGAGTATACGGCGGACGATTGGAAAACAGTCTTTTGTGCAGAACACAAACAGGCACTAAAACATGTGACTTTTCGATTATTGTAACGTATAAAAAAGGGTACGGTACCTTGATCATTTTCTCACTCGGCCATACCACGATGACATGCACTACTGTTTTTTTGCTAAGGGAAAGTTTATTGATACATTACATATCGTTCCGTAAACAGGTACTATTCCATTTGGAATAAGCATGTCTTACAGGCATATTGTAGAAAAGGAATGGCCTCCAGTCAATACTGTGCAAGATCAGTGCTGTTTAATGGATGCAATATGTGCAAGGGTCGTGGCTCTCAGAACCGAAAAGCTCTGCAAGCACCTGAGACTGTCCGAAAAGGAGGGATGGTCATTATACAGCTTACAGATTATAAAACAAGTCATGGAACAGGGAATACTCTGGGACTACCTGTTCGAGATTCTCCTTGTCATGGACCGGGAATACTTAAAGGCACAACAAAACATTTTAGGTGCCTGAATGGAAATCATCAGGGGCGACCCTTGATTTTTTAAACAATCTACGAAAAACGCCTGAATTCTTCGAGTACCGGTTTGTTATATGTTACCTTTCCTTTTGGGATTAAAAAACATCATGCTTTTTTCTGTTTCACCGTCATTCGATGCAAACATGCCTTGGAGAAACACCATTACTCGCTGGCTCTCAGATAAATGCATAATGCAGGATGGAAATCTGGCAACGTTGGAACTATTAAGGCTTCTGATAGAAGAAAATACGATACCGTCAACGCTTATCGACAATTCAACGTTGCACTCCATTATATTAATGCAAGTTCTATTGGAAACGTTAACGGGTATAGCCGTACCTCAGGTTTCTCAGGGAAGCGACCTTACTTACCAAATGGACGCTAAGGAAATGATGATGTTAGACTTGGGCAGGAAAAACGGAGCAAGTTTTGACGTTGGAAAAGGAAACGGGGGTGAACCTGGACCATTATCACAAATTGAACATTGGCAAATAACATTGGGACTCAATGGCCCCCATAAAAATATTTATTTCGACTGTAATGAACAATTATAACGTAGTATTAATACCCATAAGGTAATGTTTTGTAATCATCTATAATTAAACGCTTATCATAAACTATTTTATAGTCCTTCTTCATGCGCTTTGTCTCAATGCTTTTGTCCTTTGCGTTTCGGGTTATCTTCAATGGGATATCCACTGTAACTTTTCCCGTAACATTACACTTGGCATGAAGGTACACTAACGAGCGAATGACATCGAAATTTACCTTCTGTTGTGCCGAGCAATTCAAGGTAATCCCCTGTACTTTCGTTTCCACTTTACCTGTACTGGTTTTGTAACAGTTTTTCGGTCCGCCCGAGATAAAGGTGGTAATGTAACCCTCCTTCAATTCATTGTTTAACTGGCCGAGGTATGGACCCAACGGGGGTTCTGGCTCATTGGGCTTGCTTACGAATATCACCGAATCCGTATCGTAGTACAATACTCTTTCCTGAAGCTGGTCGAGCACTCTGTATAGTTTAAGACGGGCATAAGCTGTGGTAAAGGCGGCGATCACCACGTTAGTCTTTGCATCGGGTTCTACGAAATTTTCATTGTACTCGTAATGGAGTTCAACCATTTCGTCACTTACGAACCTTGTGTTTAAGACATTAATTTCATCTGACGTCAAGTAATCGAAATACGTCCGGGGATCTTTGACCAATTCCACCTTGGTCATATTGGATCGTTGCGCAAATTTACCTAAGGGGAAAAGTACAACGTAAGTACCTATTAATTAGGGTTTATCGCGTGGCCCTTAGTAAACAAACTAATAAATACATACCCCAAAATGAGTTCAGCATCAGTTTGGACAAAGCATGCATACTAGGGTTGTGCTCAATCTTTTCCCTATCCAGTTGTATTCCCTCAACCGCTAAATATTCATTCACATACTGCTGTTTTTGCTCTTCGGTAACACAGTTCTTAGGGTACCCACTGGATTCCTGTTTAATTTTCAGGAAGGTATTCACATAGTCTTTGAACAGGTTAACAGAGGTTTCGGGAAAATGCCACACTTCGTGCATTTGCAGGATACTATAACCCTTTTCCAGGGCTTTCTCCAATTCAACGCTACACGACATTCCCTGAATGGCTCTTCCTGCATCTCTATATCTACAATCAGAAAAGATTGATTTACTTACTGCTATTCGATTGATTGAAACTGCTGAATCACAGCTCGAGCAGCTTTGTGGGGAATTCAGCAAGGTTCATGCCCTTGCCAAAATGTTTTGTGTGGACCATGAACTGGAGCAAGATTTTGCTTCGAAGCGCACAAGAAAGAAGAAATGACTTCCTGGCGAGTTATCTAACGACAAAATCGAGGAAGATCCAGTCAGTAGATATAGGCGGGAAACGTTCGTTTATGCCATTGACACAGCCATCGTGTCAATTAGAGATCACTTCTCGTCACACAAAGCTATCCTCGCCGACTTTTCCCTACTTGATCCTGAGAGATTCCAAGATATCAACTCCAGCAAGGATTTACCACCGGATGCTTTTCAAAATGTTACACATAATTACAGCTTTAATGATAGAAAACTGAAGGAAGAGTATATCTCGTTCGTAGAGACTTACCCAAAGCTCAGGAAACCGGAAAACAATCGTCGTCCCAAAGAAACTCTTCCAAGCACGGCAAGCAGTAATGATGATATCAACTTTATCACAGTGTTGAAAGTCTTGTCCAAGTTTAACCTACAAAGTGCATTTCCAGAACTGTACACCGTGTACAAGACACTGGTAACACTTCCCTTTTGTTCCACCAAGTGTGAACGTACATTTTCTAAACTTAAGTTTGTTAAGAACAACCTCAGGTCAACGGTGGGACAGAAGCGTTTAAATTCATTAATGCTTATTATTGTTGAACAGGACTTGACAAAGACTCTAGATTATGAGAAAGTAATCAACTCATTTGCAGACACGCCGTTGTTGCAAAATATGTTGCGATATTAACTAAATAAGCTGAACAGACAGTGCCAGAGCCAAAATTTACATTAATTGGGTTGTTAAAAATATTATCGTAATAATTTATTTTGTCTTTTTTGTAAATAAAGCTATATCTGCAGTCTAGACTAAATATGGCCATGACATGATTTAAATAGTAAACGTAATATTATTTATTGATATCAGGTCGACCAAATTACATAAGTTCCTCGTTTTGCAAACCGAGTTAGGCCTATACGACATAATTCTTCAAACTGTTAATGAATAATGTGCAATATTTAAAGCAGGTTTTTCACTTTACCTTTTCGCACACGATTTTTTCTAAGAATCAAACTTATCAATATTTTTGTATGACTTGATATATTATCTATGTCTGGAAAAATTGTCTTTGTCGGAAAAATCCTGCCCTTGGCCCCCCCCCCCCCTAAAACATGGGACCCACGGCGCCACTGAATGTAGATGCTTTCCATACTTGAAATGTTATTGAAGTTTTTCCTGCAATTTAATTTCCTTGATTGCCGTCTTAAAAATGCAAAATCATAAGTTGAAATTTCACTTGTGTTGTTTTTTCAAATTTTCGAATTTTTGCTGCCGAAGACAGCCTCCTATTCATTTGAATTTCCCGCCAACAGTTTATAACACTTGAAGCGTATCTCGATTTTTTTGTGCTTGTCGGCAGTTTGACGTCATATTATGACGTTGCAGTAAGGAATTTACATTGGAGCGAATACTTTGTTCAGCGATCTGCGAACGACGTTCCAAGAATGGCGTTTAAAAATTTTCGATCTGCAGCTTTGTGAGTTTGTGGCATATATAAACACGAGGCCAGGAGCAAAGCAAAGACATTTTTTGTGTAAGTACTGTGAGAAAGGGAGATCTTTTAGAGGTATGTCAATTTGTTCGATTTTGTTCGCCCAAAACATTACACATACTATAAATATATGAGATAATATAGTGCTGAGAAAATTTATGTCTGTGAGTGTAATCCTGTTTATTGACTCAGCTTTTACCATGCTATACTAGCCTATATATAGTCATACACATCAAATATTAAAATGCATGTATGGCTATGGCCATGAATGTTTAGTTATATGTAGTTTACAATCCACATTGATAGGAATATATTTATATTATAAAGCCTGATTATTAAGACGTGCATACATGTACAACATTCCGTGTTTATACATAGAGTTTGTGATGAATATGCTACATTAATTAATTAAAGTTAGTTACACGGTTGAGAGATTTTAACTTTAAATATATTCAATTTATTAATTAATGTAGCATATTCATCACAAACTCTATGTATAAACGCGAAATGTTGTATGTGTATGCACGTCTTAATAATCAGGCTTTATAATATAAATATATTCCTATCAACCCAATGTGGATTGTTGTCTACATATATTAACTTACCAGCATGCAGTTACAAGGTGTGACAGTCAGACTAAAAATATACCTTTGAGATATGTTCATTGTTAGCACAATATGAAATAATCCTACCGGCCCTCATTCATATATTCACCTGGCTGTGTCACCACATTTCAGGGTATACTATATTTCTCGATAATGCTCACAATTTCTTTCTTATTATATAGTTTCGCAGTTCTGACTGTGTACAATCTTAGTCATTACAAAGAATGATGTTATCTGAATTCTGAAGCTGACATATTATTAAACAAAAAGTCAACAAATAGATTTTGTCTCCCCATCAGCAGATTGTTCAGTTGTTCTGCAATAGGTGTAGCCTTGAAGGTGCCATTAAAATGATAATTGGGACAAAAACTGACTTAGTATATCTATATATGAAATTGTTATTAAATTCTACATGTCCAAGGCCAAATAAAAATAATAGTTGGTTTCCGACCGACCTGTCAAAAATATGACTGACCATAAACATTTTATTGACATTTAAACGTTTAGACTGAACATTGTTGGCATTAAATATTTAATTGTTGCTCCTTTCCTTGCATGTCATGTTTTATATGTATGCAGGTGAAAACCTGATGTAAAAACAATAAAACTAAGATTTCATGAGTTTTAACTTATATTTATTGCATACTTGACATAATTTTTTTTTTTAAATAAAATGTTTTTCCAACTTACCTACCCATATAAAACATGGCTGTGAAACCTGAAGCCAACTATTATTTTTATTTGGCCTAATGGATTCATTCAAGTATTATTATTGTTTATACACATGGTATTATTGCACAGTATTGAGTGGCAAGCTTGAATGGCAACTGATCATGGTATGCTAATAGACCTGCAATGCAGACATTAAAAATAGGTACGCACTGCGTACATGTGGCTAGCCTATTTAGCCTGTGCAGTACTGCTGGAGTTCACATTGTCATGAACATTCATCACGAACATTCATCACGAACATTCATTGTGACACAAAAGTAATAATTACAATAGAATGGTCAAAATAAAACACATGCAGTATCTTTCTTACAATATCAACAAATGGCTAGAACAATCACTCGATTTAAAAGCAATATGGTTGGTAGAAATGCCAACAATATTATTGAGTCACACTTAAATTAATAACTATTTTGCTTTAATAATAAGCATATACATCAACTATAAATGATGTCACTTTTATTGTTTTTTTTCAAAATTTCACTAATATGTAATTCACTAATTCAGCATAGCTTGTCAGTATCCCCCATTTACTCAACCCTTTTACTTTTATTAATATATAATTAAGTAGAATTGAACAGCTTTAGATTAGGTATATGTACTTCTTATAGTAACTATTTAGCAAGCAATTGTAACTTATTATAAATGCATAAATATCAAGCTTGCGGCTGACACTGCAGCAGCTCCCAGCATAGGAATACATTTCATGTCTAATGAATTGGTAAATATATTTTCACTCAATTATTTCCATTTACAAGATCCTTCAACTGTACGTCAACAGACTGAGCTTCCATTGCACTGTGTATGAAATTGTTATGGAAGACAATCCTTGAACAATAGATCTCAACAATAGCACCTATTAATTTACAGTCAGAGCAACGTCAGTGACTACTATAGACTATTTCAGCCTGTTTCCTGTTTTCAACGTCAGTGACTACTATAGACTAGTCCAGCCTGTTTTCTGTGTTAATTGTAGTTTTATACCTGCAAGTTGATAGGACAGTTACACTGCAGTATAATATGCCAGCAATGGCTTCTTAATTTACCAGCATAATGGTATATTAAAATTCAAGATCTGTAAGCACGTTTGATTATTAATAAAAACATTAAACAGGATTATAAACTCACTATAAAGCTTTATAGGAAGCGTGATCAAAATCTCTTTGACCAGAGGCCAAGTCCAGAGCAGTCATCAAAAACATAAATATTGATTGAAATGACAAAAATTATTAATTTACCGTTTGCTGTGAAAAATTCGTTCGAGTATTTCTACCAGTTGGCAACTGTAATTTTGCTGAGTGAGACATCTGCCAGTATTAAAGTCGTTAAGATACCTTTTCTGAGGCAATTTTAACATAAATATTGACGTCTCATCCAATGAAAGACAGTTTCCGAAGTAAAGTCGACAATTTCCATCACAGCCTCTTACACTTTTAGCGTTACATAGTGGCTAGCCCGCGAACAGGCTAGCCACAAAAACCGTAGCATGACCTGTTGCTAGGTTCACAGCCAGTTGCTAGGTTCACCACCAACAGTATTATAATTATAGATACAAAAGCAAGAAGTTATAAGCATTGAATGTATTCATATAAAAACGGCCATGCCAAGAAAGTAAAATTAGAATATTTAGCTGACCTTTGACTTTGTGCAAGGTGTTTGGTATTCAAATTGCACTTTTCCTACCTCCTGAACAGGCATCTTAGGGGCTGTTTACATGATGGAAGGTGGGATGATTTTGATGTATTGAAATAAGTCAACAGGCTAAACAAAAGTTCAAATGCTGGTTAACAGAACTCAAATGTTGTAGAGCATCTTGTAGTTTAAGAAGATTATTATTGCTGCTTGAACAAAATTTCAGTTTACAGGTAACTATTGCTATCTCTCGAAAATAATGAAGTTTTTTTGCTGAAGTGTGCACTGTGCACCATGACTTATTTAAATACATCTAAATCATCCCGCCTCATATTTCATCCAGGCAAAGCGGGATCATAAGAACGGCCCATTATTATTCAGCAAATTGCGCATGCTGCCTTTGATCCCTTGGGGGTGAGGCAGCACTTTCCTTGCGATAGTAACTTCTAGTCTTAGTATATGAACACACAAACACAACAATATTGCATTACAAAATAGTATGATGAGCTTTTAATTACAAAGGACACATATAAATGGTAGGAACCAGGTCTCTAGTTAACATCGCATTGCTGTCTGAAACCCTATAGTTGCTACCGCAAGCAGCACACTATTGTTGAGATTATTATCGAGATTTCGGATATCTGTTTTGTGACATAGTCAATTTTATGACGTAGAATCAAGAGATCAGTGGATGCTGGATAGACCATATGATTTGTAACATTTTGCTGCGACCTCTATTGTTTTACTTTACTGCTGCTTTTGTTAGTGTAAAGATTTGTTCGTTGTTAAGGTAAGGAGGAATGTATATGTCCATATTTACTTTAATTTCGCCCAAAAAATGTTTTAATAATATTTACAAAAGTTTACTAATTTATTATTACAGTAGGGCTAGGGGCCTACTAGAAACCTATAAGGATTTTGTTTAAGACCCCTAGACTATGTTACATTTACAGAAATATTTGTTATACACTAAAGATAATCAGTTTATAATCAGTAAATAAAAGATAATTATATGTAAAAATAGGACAGTTTTATATCAATGCAATTTGCATTTCGTTTTCATTTGATAACAAGTGTTTTTTAATACGTGTAAGATTTAATAGTTTTGCATAGTTAGTTCTTTTGAAAGTTTTGTGAATTTGAGATACACTTCTTGTATTGTGGTCATTAATGTCCTCACCGTTTAATAAATATATATATATTGAGATATTTAATATAACGTCACGCATAAGAACACAAGGTTTGTGGGGTTATGGAAGTGTGGGACAACTGCTCTATATATTGTATTTTTTATCTGCGAAGAGCTGGGTGCTGAGCGGTTCCCAGGGCATATACTCGTATTGAAAAGCTGGATCTTGGGGAAAGTCGATTAGGACATATACTGATTTGCAGCTGGGTCCTAATCTGCCCAATACATATACTTTTACGGATTTAGAGCTGGGTCCTGAGTCGGCTAGAACATATACTCCATTTAGAGCTGGATCCTAGCCTGCCCTGCAAGACATATACTCTGAGCTGGGCCCTGGAAAAAAATGATCAGGGAAATATTTCTTAGAACACTGATCTGGCTCAGCACATATACTCATATGCAGAAATAGAGTGATTTTTGTAAATGGGAATTGGCTGTATGCCAGGTTGCCAAATTCCGTAAAGAAAACGTGAGGTCTATGGTAAAATTGCGACCTCATACTAGAGCAATTGCCTCCACAATCACACAACGATAGTGTGTGTGATCCCCATAGACCGACAAACAACGATCGAGTGTTTATTTCACTCTGCAATCAATCGTTTTGAAACGTCTGTAAGGACATTGATTGGCGTGCAAATATACCTGAGGTAACAATCGGAAGACCATCTTCCTAGTGTTTGAATAAGCCAATGAGGCAAACCTTCGGACGCAGCTGTGGTAGCCGCTCCGATTCTAAAGCTGTGGCCTGCATAGTGAGCAGGGTGATGACCACCTTGGGCCAAAAGTGTTCGTAGTTCCTTAGTAAATTGACTACGTGATAAAGGAACATCGTCTAGAATGTGCCCAACATAGCTTATAAAACACTTGTTGAGTAAAATCCATTCAAGTGCATCCGAAAGTTGATTGAAAATATACGGCGCACTACGCAGACCAAATGGCAACACTTTGTCAAAATAATAGGACTTGTTCCAATATATGCCTAATAACTCCCAGTCGTCAGGATGAACAGGGAATTGACGAAAAGCAGATTCTATGTCAGTTTTAGCTAGATAAGTGCCTCTGCCTAATCGGATTAAAGCCGTAATTGCGTCGTCGATTTTTATGTACTGCAATGAAAAGTCGTCTTTCTCGATAAAGGAATTGATTGATTCTCCCGTTTTTGGAAACGAGAGGTGAAAAATGGTTCGAAATTTATCTGAATGCTTTTTAGGTACAATGCCAATTGGCGAAACCTGTAAATTAGCAAATGGCGGATTGGTGAAAGGACCAGCTGTGTGGCCAAGAGCAACTTCCTTAGCTAAGTTAGTTGAAACAATAGTTGGATTGTCAATGGCAGACTTGAGGTTTTTCGAAAATTTTGACATGCGAGGACCATCGTAACCGAGACGAGCACCGAAACGCAAGTCTGAACAGAGTTTCAAAACGAATGATGAATTGGGATGCCCACAAAGAGCACCTTCAAGCGCGTCAACGCGAATTGGCGTAACTATAGTATTATCTAAAGGTATTGAATTACTGCTATTATATATACTACACTTTAAACTAACAGTTCTATTTTCTGTTGGTCTTCGCGGAGCTACGGGCGGATTGTGAAGGGTGGTCGTCGTTGTGATCGTTTTCCCCACGGGATTGTGGACATTGGTACCCAGGATGGTTCCCCCCACAGCCAATTCGGTTACATCGGTGAGTGTAAGGGCAATTGGGTCGTAATGAGCAAGATCTACCCCTGCTGTAGCTGTGGCAAATTCCGTCCCTCGCTGCCCCAGCTTTGTTTGAGGGTCCGTTAGAAAAAAGGGAATAATCTTCCCGCAACTGAGTAGAGCTAGCGGTGAAAATACGCAACCATAACTGCATGTCAATGTTGGCCCACGACAATGTTCGACACGCGGCGGCTTTATAGCGAAATTTATGATCATATATGCACCAGCCTAAACCGCCATGCGTTTTTGCCGCATGACGGATGGTTTCCATGTACTGTAAAAGTTCTGATGCACGATTTGGAAATTTTTGTACTATGATTAACATATACGTGTTGAAAGCGGTTGTCCACTCTTCAATGTTAGTCAGCACTTGAGGCTTGCGCGGTGTTAATGAGATTCCCGTAGAGGAAATTGTGAAACCCACGTTGTCAGAAGAATCGGAACCAACATTTAACTTATTTAAATTTTTTGGCAATAATTTAGCAAGCTCAAAAAACTCACCACTTTCGATGTCACGAACGTATTTGTTTGGAATCTCTGGCGTGAATCCCCCATCTGCTTGCTGGATTGAGGCAACAGGTCCATGGGATGAAGTCGGCTGCTGCTGGAGCTCGCTGGAACTTAAAAATGGAAATTGACCAAGCTGTTCTAGCCTTTCGAGTGGCGTTGGCGGTGGCGGGATAGTTGGCTGCTCATCTACACGAGTCGCGGTTGTTGTGGCGTGTTGGCTTTCGAAGAAAGACGAAATCGACTGCGAAACAATCTGCGTGATCTGTGCCAGTTGGTCGGCGCTGAAGCTTTCCCTTGCGTTGGAATTAGATAACGTGTTGTTTACTGGAACGGTTTGAATGTTGGATTGCGGCGTATTCGTGTTTAGACGTTCTCTTTCGTTTTGTAGACGCGTTGTAAGTACCCGTCGGCCGCCAGCGCAGGAAAAGTTGAGTTCGCGGCAAAGGTTCTTCAACTCTAAAATTGATAACTCGCCCAAATTGCTCGGTACTTCGACGGACGGTTGAATACTGGATGGTCGTTGATCCTGCTGACGAACTCGTGATCGTGGTTTGCTAACTCGTGGCATTATTTTTTGTGGACGTTTAGAAATGATAAACGTGAAACGATTAATTTTTTAAATGACTCTTTAAATTAGTCTTTACAGCTCGCAATCCAAGTAAGAATGATATAGGCAGATAAAGCTAACTCGGATATCTGCCCATGTTTAACTATAGTTTCATTGTTATAGTTATGAATAGGTCAAACATAGTGGTTTGGACAATAATTAATAAACGATACTGGGTGCAGTAGCCTACGGGTTTGGCAAGCAAATAATGGAAGTCTGTGATAGAGTCTTCGTTTGTTTAGACAATAGTAGCTTTCGAGTTGGCTTAACATAGACATTTTAAATCTATAATTTTTAGGTCTAGCGCATTGAGTATCGTCCATTAACAATAATTTGTACTCGTAAAAATTACCATTTAAACTCCCACAAAAAAAATGAATTGAGGTCGACAAAAAAAAACGAATTGAACTCGCACAAAAAAATGAATTGAACTCGCACAAAAAAATGAATTGAACTCGCACAAAAAAATGAATTGAACTCGCACAAAAAATGAATTAAACTCGCACAAAAAAATGAATTAAACTCGCACAATGCAAAAAAATGAATTAAACTCCCACAAAAAAATGAATTGAACTCGCACAAAAAAATGAATTGAACTCGCACAAAAAAATGAATTGAACTCGCACAAAAAAATGAATTAAACTGACACAAAAAAATGAATTAAACTCGCACAATGCAAAAAAATGAATTAAACTTCCACAAAAAAAAATGAATTGAGCTCGCACAAAAAAAATGAATTGAACTCGCACAAAAAATGAATTAAATTCGCACAAAAATATGAATTAAACTCGCACAAAAAAATGAATTAAACTCGCACAATGCAAAAAAATGAATTAAACTCCCACAAAAAAAAAGAATTGAGCTCGCACAAAAAATGAATTAAACTCGCACAAAAAAAATGAATTGAACTCGCACAAAAAAAATGAATTGAACTCGCACAAAAAATGAATTGAACTCGCACAAAAAAATGAATTAAACTATTATTATTATTTATTATTTAATCTTCTTTAAAAACAAAGGTAGCCCTTCAGCATAGATAAGAGCTGTTTTCCAAGGGGCCGTTGCACAATACAAATTTTCAAAAAAAGTGAGGTTGATAATTACAATTAGTATACAGTTACAAATTACACATTACACATTACATATTACAGAGTACACCACATAATATGATATTATTATTATAAAGCTTTATTTGCATGACCTAATTACAGGTATTGCTAAGCGTAGATTATATATATATATAAAATGTCAGTAATGTCTAAGCTATAACTATAAAAATATATAGGAAGAAGCTATTTACAAATAGAAAAGCAGCTAGTATATAATTTAAAGATATAATGTTGGGGTTTTTTTGTTTATTTTGTTTTATTATTTATCTAAGCAATTTTTAGTCTAATTGTTGTCCCTCATCTTCCATGGATTTGAGGCTTTTATCTCTCTCCGAAAAACAGTGAAAGATATACTTAGAGAGCAGGTTAACAAGAACTGGATCGTCTGAAGACATCGCATGCTCAAACAGTTTTTGTTTTCCTTCCATTGTGTTATTAAGATAAAATAGATTTTTGAGAATGTTGTTAGAATTATTTCTTAATTCTTCGTATTTCGGGCAAGATAAGGCTAAGTGATATTTGTTTTCCCCTTCACCGTTGTTGCAAAGTTTGCAGAAACGTTGTTCGCGAGAAACGTTTTCGTATCTTCCTCGCTCAATTTGCAATTTATGATTACTTACTCTATATTGAGAAAATGTTCTTCTTATCGTTGGGTTATCAATAAGGGATAAATATTCTTCCATTTTGTACTGGTTTTTAAATGTACAAAAGAAAGATAGTTTGGAGGAGTTAATCATTTTATGTTGCCAAAATTCAAAATATTTATCTTTCATCTTATTTACAATAGTTTTTGTATCGTAGTTGATTATATCACTTTCCAAGTTTGTTGTATTATCATAGAGTGATTTAATTAAGCATGTTTATTGCGTTGGTGTAGAAAGATTCTTTGCCTTTTTCAAATAGTTGTTTAGACATTAGGAAGGATTGTTTAACTATTGAGTTGTCGTCTAGTTTAAAAATATGTTTAAAATAGTTTAGTATATTCTTTTTTATTGTAATCAGCAGTGGGTATTTATACCCAAGTTCACTTCTGCAAGCCACGTTACTGGCTCTTCTGTTAACACCTAGGTATAGCTTGCAGAATCTTAAATGAATTTTTTCAGTTTCTGAATTATCCCATTTATTCAGATCATTTTTTTCGTATGCTCCCCAGACTTCTGAATTATATAGTAGAATTGGGGAAATTATTGAGTCGAAAATTTTTGTTGCTGTTTTTGGTGAAAGTTTATGAAAATCTAGATTTTTACGAATTTTATAAAGAGCATGCAAGGCTTTTTCGCTTAGTTGTTGTTGTGCGAGTTTAAATTTCCCATTTGGTACTAGTTTGAGACCAAGATAGGTATACTCTTTGACTATATCTATCTTTTTATCTCCAATGTGGAAATAAAGGTTTGGTAATTTCGAGTTGTGTTTTTGAAAAATCATAATTTTTGTTTTCTTGATATTGACTTCCATTAGCCATTTACTACACCATTCATTTATTTGGTTTAGACAGTTTTGTAAACCTGATTTTGACCGTGAAAGTATAATGAGATCATCCGCATAGAGTAGGCTGTTGATAGTTTTATTAGCCCTTTAACCCCTGGTCTTTGCTACTTCAGTATATATTGCTTCTTCTCAGTTCCATTCACAGCTCACTAGTCGATGTGAGTAATCACTGTGCTTGATATAATTTGTGCTGTTTACTGTAGTTCTATTTGCTTTTAATGCCCGCAGCCAACCTCGTCCCCAGGGTCTTCCTCGTGGTGGCGCGTGAGCTGAGGAAGACCCTGGTAAAATACGATGAAATCTCCAAGATTCTTGGAGATTTATCGCATGCGCAGTAACGACAACGTTATGTTGCTGACTACAATTAGCGCTGGCGCTTACGATTTTCTTGCTTGAAAATATACATGTTTTGTTGATTGTTTATGGATTTATTCTCAAAGTTTTAACAACTTTTACGAAAAATACTTCAGATATAAGCTGTGAACACACATGTACACAAAACTGTGCAACATTCATCATCATATTGTATCAATTTGTCGGAGTATGGCGCTCAAATTTGTGACATTGTTTTGTTCGCTTTGGCAACCCTCGTATATATCAGATGCTGTTCGGCCTCAAATGCGACTGAATAAACACTGATAGTGTTGCCTGGAATATGAAATGATATTGAATGATTGTTCTGTATATCAAGGTATGTAATGTACATTTATACTGAATTTATTCGATTTTTCTCACACGTTGCTTTCACATTTTCTCAGAGTCTCGGAAATCACATTTTCTAATAAACTCAGTTTCAAACATACAGCAAGACTTCATTTCACACATACAGAAAGACTTCTTCAGAAATCACAGTTTTTAACATATAGAAAAACTTCATATTATCTCATCAGTTAATCAAATTATGATAACAGTACGTAGTAGAAATGCTTAGAAAGATTTTATTCTGTTTTCCATATACAGTGTACAACTGTTATTTGAATTTTCTCTTTCCTATATTTTCTTTAAAGCAGGTACTGTTCTGTTACAAAACAACTAATAAACATTTTATTATTTTAACAGGTGAACCATATTTTACATGAACTTGGGGAAAAAAACAACTTGAATTCCATGGAAATATATATAATCATGTCATCAATCAGATAGTAGACAATCATTAAGATGGCCTCAAGATTATATTTCACAGTGACCAACATGAAAATTTTTAAATGGGAATTAGTTGATGGCATTATAGTTTTCTAAAGCATTATGCAATATAATTTTGTTCATCAAGGTGAAGAAACCTTAACTCACTATACCTTTTCCTGTTACAGAGCTATGGTAGTAATCTTAGAAGATTTTCATGATCCCTCTATTCAGTAGTTCTTTAACCAGTCTGGTATTATGACTGTATTATGTTAAATAGCCTTGTGTGACTTTTGTGTTTTGTTTCTTTAATAATACATTTACAATGGTCAAAATTACAGTTTATTATTTGTATTTCTAATGATAATTACTTGCACATATCCATCACACTTCTCTGTTATTATTAAACTTATTACTATCATGCAAGTAAAATCTCTTTTGAAAAATAAAATGTTGTCCCAGGATAGTCATAAATATCAGCTAGTAAAACTAATGAATATACCTATAATCATGTACATATGACTATCATATAATATGTTGTAATTCCTTTAAGTGTTTCCAATTAAATAAATTTCTATTTTCAGTTGTTCATTGTTCAAACTAATTTGAAACCTACAGTATATGTAGTTGCTATGATTCAGATTAATATCCAAAAGTGTGCCTTTTACTTCAGTCCTTATAGACTCCTTCCTAATACAGACACTTTATTGTGCCACTCCAATGTTCATTCAAAGTGATCCAACTGACATCTGAGCTGGTGATAATATACAACAAAATATTGGAAGTAGGAGTATATCAGATAAGTTGTTCATTCAGTCAAGACCTTCAGGTTGTGCTGATCATCATATCAAACTCCATCACATATTGTGCCTTAAAAACATATATACAAATTTTATTGTTGCAGCACACTGGGCCATTCCATCTAATATAGCCCCCCCCCCACACCCTATTGAGGGGTCTCTTCATAATACATTTTAATAATTTTGGAACCCCATTGGATGCAATTTTGGAACCCCTATGGATGTCTTTCTACCCCTTTAGGATATTGTTCCTGCCCCTTTGGATATCACTAAAACACCTAATTTTTAGGAAATCTCTTAAGCTACCCTCCACAAAAATTTAAGGTAAAAACTCCCTCTATAAAATCCTCATATAGGATATCCAGACCTCAATAGACAATAGGGGGGAGGGGGGGCTATTAAATGGAATGGCCTATTTGGAATCATGGTGAGTGGTGACTACCAAGGAAAATGAAACATGCTGGCCTGCTTTACATACAGAATAAATTTTGAAGCATTTCTACTGTTACTTGTAACGATAATCAGATTCGATGAGAAAATATGGAGTCTTTCTGTATGTTAATAGTGATGTGATCTCATTGATC